AGGCTGGAACGACCCCGCCCGACCCCCACACGCCAAGTCACCCTTGGGAACTCACGGGGACACCCTTCCCCACTCCGGGCCAGCTCCGGGGACCCTGAGGTACCCACCCACCCACCTACTCGCAAACCCAGGAGCCCCGGGTCTGCACGCACCATTGATTTTCAGCAGGTCCTGGCCTCCGAGCAACTCGCCGTTCTGCTTGGAGGCTGTGGAAAGAGGCTCCTGCAGGCGCGGCCCCGCGGACTCGGAAACATTCTCCTCGCCCGAGGGGTGCGGGGACCCCCGTCGTGGGACGCACAGAGGGGGTGGGTAGGGGTACAGCACACATGAAGTGCCCAGGAGCCGAGGGGAGACAAACACACGGGGCCACACACACGTTCATGCATGCACATGTGCACTTGTGTGCGTGCACACAGTCCGAAGATGCACACACACACTCTGTTCACACGCAGCCCCAGGCAGGGGTCAGGGACCCAGCCGGTGTGCCCTGGGGTGGAGGAAAGAAACTAAGCAGGGAGTTGGGAGGTGGGGCAGGACTGCGACACAGTCTCCCCATCATAGACGGTCACTCACCCTTGGAAAGTAGGATGCTCAGAATGAGGGCCCACAGGACTGTGGTGACCATGAGAGCCAGGGCCACTAAGAGGAATCGCCATCTCCACTGTTTCCAGTGTCCTTGGATAACAAAGGACTCATGGGTCCCTCCTGTACAGGACAGTCCTGGACCCCTGAGCCCCAAGGACTGAGCCTTAGCCCTTTAGGTCCCAGAAAATTGGGATTCAGAGAGGTTAAGTAACTTGCCTATGGTCATAGCCCTTAAGTGACAGAGTTATAATTTGAATCTATGTCCAGTTGGCTCTAGAGCCTGTGGTGTCTCTCCAGCACCCAGGACTGCTCCCTCTCTTGGCTGTTCTTCTCCCTTCCCCCATCAAACCTCAAATCAGAGGGACCCAAGGGGGCCAGTGAGGCAGTCCCACTGCTCGCTCATACCTCCGGGCACCTCCTGGAGGCTGCCACTCCAACTGCTGTACCCCGCAGTGTTCATGGTGAGTGGGATCCCTGCCCTGGGTATTGGTATAAATGTAGCCCCCTCCCTCCCCCGCCCGCCTCCTCGGTCTTCCTTCCTTTCCATCTCTTTCCTTTCAATTCCTGGTACTGAGAACCCATTGACTAATCACAGGGCTGGGCCCTTTCTGGGCTGAGCCAGGGGGTAAGGGCGAGGTGCAGTAAGGGAAGTGGGAAAGCGGTGAGGGGGTGAAGGGGGGTAGAGGGAGTGGAGGGGGAAGGGCAGTGGAGTATGAGCACACACACACACACACACACACACACACACACACACAGGCTCATCTGTGCTCAGTACCAACCTCCCTGGGCTGGTGCTGGGGTCTTTTCTTTGGTCCCCATCTCTTATAGGTCAGAGGCTGGGCTTCCTCCCAAGAGGGACAGGCCTCCTTCTGGGTCCCTCAGGCCTGGACTCCTGGGTTAGCTCAGCTTCACTCCTTAACTCGCCCACAGATGCCGGCCAGAGGCTGACTCTTAGTTCAGTCCTTGTTCAGAAGGGAGAACACAGATGTTCAGCTAAGCTTCTGGACTCAACTCTTGGGTGGGTGGGTGGAGGAGTGTATGTATGTAGTTTCTAGAAGCCTCAGTTTTACTCCTCTGTGCACAGGGGACAGTGACAGGGCCTCTCTCCAAGGGATGCTGTGATAAAGAAATGAGGTTATGAATATTAAGCCCTAGCACCGTCCCCAGGCACAAAACCCACGAAATGTTCATTCATCTTTTCAACAAACACTGAACACCTCCCACGTGCCAGGCATCGATTTAGGAACTGGGCATTGTCCGAAGGTAGGGTAAAGGTATAATGGCCACTGCAACGAGAAGTTAACTTCAGACCAAAGAACAAGGCAGGCAACTCCATAGAATATAATAGAATTGATTATACTTACGGGAAGATTGGGCTGGAGCAGAACAGATGGCCCAGCAGTCTGTGCGAACTATTTTCCACTACCGGACCCCTGCTACTGCGCTTTTTTATAGTATAACTGAGGTACTAATGATTGACAAGACAAAGGGACGAAGAATGGAGTAGTGCCAGGGGCCATTCCTCATGGCGGTCTTGTGATGGATGGTTCTTTAAATCGATACTATCACCAGTTTGATATTTATCTTGGTTGTCATGCCATTCTGGCCGTTACTAACAAATATATTTATGGCTACATTTTAAGGAACATAGGTAATCATCAACTAGAAGGCTTGATATGCTCGCTAAGGACCGTGAAGTTGGTCACAGCACGAAATTTAAAATGGAATCTAGACACAGAGATGGAGTTGATTTTGTCTGCAGCTACAGTGGCATACATCAATGCCCACAGGAGCAAATCAGTGCCCACAGGAGCAAATTCCCTCCTTGGAGCAAACATTCCAGTAGGGGGTAGGGATAGACAGACAGTGAACAATGAACATAATGAAAAAGTAAGTTGTATAGATAGTGGTTCTCAACTGGGGGTGATTCTGCCCCCCAGGGGACATTGGGCCACACATGGAGACATTTGTGGCTGCCGTAAGTTGGGGGGTGATACTGGCATCTAGTGGGTGAAGACCAAGGATGCTGCTCAATACTGGCCCCCAATGCTGAAGGTGAGAATCCTAACATAAGATATTAAAAAGTCCTAATGCACCCGGCCAGGCGTGGCTCAGCGGTTGAGCGTCGACCTAGGATCCAGGCGATCGGGGTTTGATTCCAGGTCAGGGCACATGCCCGGGTTGCGGGCTCGATCAATGACTCTCTCATCATTGATGTTTCTCTCTCCCTCCCCTTTCCTCTCTCTGAAATCAATAAAGACATATTGAAAAAAAAAACACCTAATGCTATGAAGGGCTTGGAAATGCTAGGCTGGGACAGTGGTCGATAAATTGGATGGATGACCAGGGTAGGCCTTGCTGAGAAGGTAAAATGTTATTTTTTATCCAGCACCTCCTACATTCTAGCCTCTCTCTTTTTTTTAGTTGAAAATGTAGCCCACCTTCTCAAATCCTCTCAACGACCCTCAGAAATAACAAACATTATCCACATTTTATTTAAAACTTTTATTCTATGCCTGTTTTCCTGCCTTCTTCCAGGAAGGAATGAGAGAGACATGCACAATAAAATAAAATAAAAAGACAAGAAATTTTTTTTTAAAAAGGAAGGCAAATAGGAAATGAGGCTCAGGGAGGGAACTTGAATCTAAAAGACTCTGCTGGGGCACAAAGTTCAGACCGAGGTGGCCGGCTTGTGACAAATGCAGACCGCCCCCTTTGTTGCAGCAGAAAATTGCGTTCAGACACCTGGGGAGGGGTAGAGAATTCCTTCAGAGGAATCTGCCTGAGAGATGTGTACACTGAGTCCTCACTGAGCTTTCCATAAATACAGTAGCAATTTTCTACCACTGGGCCAAGGTAGATGGCTTCAGTCATGGCCAAGTGCAGTGTTAGGAAAGGCAGACTCTCCCGCACTCAAAGCGGATGGCCATCAACGCCACGCAGGCTCTTAGCATGTTGCAAGTAGTGGTGAGTTTGAGGAGTTTGAGGCCACGAACAGAAGCTGGATGAGGGGCCAACTCTGGACTTCTGTGGATACCTGAAAAATGTCTGTCACTCTGTTTCTCTCTCTTGCTTTCTCTCTCACTTAGAACTAAAGGAGAATCCTGAGCTGAGGGGGCAAATGATCATTTAAGTACAGGGGAGGAATTCTGTTCCAAATTAGAACCAGGAGATGCAAAAATGTCAATGAGTCAGATGGTAACCTCATGCAGATCATGGGGTCTCTGGGTACTCAGTTTCTTCATCTTAACCATCAACAGGTGATAAAGCTTTTGAGGCCCAATTTATTATGTTTCTGTGGCTTTTAAGAAGACAGATGTAGCCCAGCCGGGCGTGGCTCAATGGTTGAGCATTGACTTGTGATCCAGGAGATGGAGGTTTGATTCCCGGTCAGGGCACATGCCCAGGTTGCGGCTCCATCCCCAGCACAGGGCTGCAGGAGGCAGCCGATCAATGACTCTCATCATTGATGTTTCTGTCTCTCTCCTTCTCCCTTCCTCTCTCTGAAATCAATAGATATATTTTTTAAAAAGATGTAAACAAATTGTGAAATATTTAATATATCTTCATTACCCCCCAGTCACCACTGGTGTGCTTTCTGTCATTAGATTAGCTTGCATTTTCTACTCAGCATAGTTAACACTCCATTCCTTTTGATTGCTGAGTAGAATTTTGTTGTGTGGATATACCAGTTTTGTTATACACTCACCTGTTGGTGGGCATTGGGGTTGTTCCCAGCGCAAGTATTTATGCGGATGTGTGCTTTCATTTGCCCTGGGTAAGAGCATCACAGATACCCATCCCCGTAGGGCTCACACACAGCAGCCCTTCACTAATTTATTTAACAGATATTTATTTGGTGCCTACTATGGCCTCTCATTAATTCATCTAACCAACCTTTATTGGGCGCCTTCTGTTGGCTCTGTTGAAGTTCTTGGCCATGTAATGGCAAATAAGACAGCCAATCCCTGCCCAGATGGATCTAAATCTAAATATTTGAAAAGCTAACCTTTGGGAAGAATATCTGGGTAGAAACAATTTCTTGGTCAAAATATCAAGAAGACAACAAAAAATGATTAATAAATTAAACCATTTTAGAAAATTCTATTTTGACTTGGGTAATGTTTTGTTAAGCTGATCTTTAAGTTTATTGTCATACAGGCACACACACTGTTTTCTTAATTTCTAATTGCTGCTGTATTTTCTTTCTCATTCCAGGCTTATCTCAAGTATATCCCATTTGTAAGTCTTTTTTTAAAAAAACATAGGTTTCATTTATTCTTTCTACTGTTTTTGGATTAAAGACATGGTATTGCTTACTAGTTAAGGGTCAAACTGCCTGGGTTAAATCCCAGCTATGCCACTTATGAGCTATAGCGTCTTTCCCTCATCTTTTTCTAGGAGGTGGTTTGGTTTTCCTTATTAATTTATAGAAGTTCCGTATGTATTATAGACACAGATGCAATCACCATTTCCCATGCGGTGGCTGCTCTTTCCACTTTATGGTGCTTTTTGTTGTTAACCCCCACCTGAGGATTTCTCCATTGGTTTTTTTTAGAGAGTGTGGAAGGGAGGGAAGAAGGGAGGCAGAGAGAGAGAGAAAAACACTGACACAGACACATCGATTGGTTGCCTCCTGCACCCACGCCCTGCCCGGGGCCGGGATCCGACCTGCAAGCCCAGGTACCTGCCCTTGACGGGAATGGAACTCGAGACCCCTGGATGCACGGCAGGCGCTCTAACCACTGAGCCACACAGGCCAGGGCTCATCAATGAGTAAGGAAATAAATCTTGGTGGGTCCACACTCTGAAACAAACTGGTAGTAAACGAGTTGTACAGGAAGCGACGTGCCTGGTCTTCAGTAACCTGGGGTCTCGAGAAGCTGAAGCCCTTTGAGGCCCACGGCACCGTGGCGATCGTGAAAATTACACACACGGCCGCTTAGGTCTGTGCACCTAAGAGCGTGCACCACGCACATCTAGTGGGTGCCTGCGGTGTGGGGAGAGGAAGAAAGATTAGACAGCGAAGGTCAGCAGTGCTCACGGAACAATGCAGGGCTGAGAAAGGTTATCTTCCCCCAAGTGGGAGGGTCCCGCTCCCCCTGGCAGGCCCTTTGCTCCGACGCTCGAGGCTCATCTTGCCTTGGTCATCAGAAGCTGAGCTGGAGTCAACAGGCACTGACAGCTGACTTAGCAGCGGGGTTTACTGTGGGGCACATCCTCCTTCTGGGGTTCTTGAGGACAGCAGTGCTCGGGGGGGGGCGAGCGCTCAGTGGGAGGAAACGGGCAAAAACCACAAGGATTGTACAATCTCATCAGAATGTGTTACTGGGAAAGCACTTCGATGGAATTGATTTATCAGCCCTTACGCAAGAGAGAGAATGAATGTGTCTGGGGGATCATGGGAGATTTTCTGGGAGAGGTAGCATTGGACTGGGCCGTGATGGGCAGGCATATTGT